CTCTGGTACCCAGTACTGACTTGATACCCTCACTTGCCTGCACTCCAGATGTCTCAACCTCAGAATTCTCCTTCTGCCTACCCAAATCGGTTCTTCCAACACTGCTTCTCTTCTTGATGAATGGCTACTCCATCTTTTTTCAGCCACATACATCAAATTCCTTGGAGGCTTTCTTGTACCACTCTTCCTCCAACCCACCACTCCCAACTGCCAGCAGATCCCTGTGAATTATTTTCCAAACATATCGAGACTTCAGCCACCTCTCCATTTTGTATATCTGTTGTTGCTGATCCAGGCCACCACCATCTCTTACCTGGATTATTGCAGTGACCTCCAGACCAGACCCTTTGGTCCTTCTTGTGCCTGCTGTGACTGATTTTTATAACAGAAGCCAAGATGAACCTTTCAAGTTACTCCTCTCCTCACAGCTCCCATTTCACCCAGTAAAAGCCAAATTGCTTATAGGAGCAACAAGGTTCTACGTGACCGTCTGTCCCCCAGCTCTCTGATTCATGACTCTCTGGGCTTCTCACCCTTATGCTATAAGAAAGGCACTCTCCCTGTCCCTGCTGCTGAACACCCAACCTTGCTCCCACCTTGGAGTACCCCTTTTGGCTCTTTCCTCCATCTTGGCTTTTCCCTTCTGGGCATCTGTGTGGTGGCTCACTCCTGCCCTTTAATGAGGGCCCCCCTCCCCACCACCCACCAGCTAACCACACACTTCCTGATTTTCCTTACCCTGTTCCATGTTTTTCCCATGGTGTTTACAACCTTCTAACATTACTGAATACTTGATTTATGCGTCATTTATATTTGTTTTGTAAACTTATATACCCAGCCAGATGGTCCTCAATAAATATATTTTGAATGAAAAAAATAAATGAATTGACTATGTTAGATAAACACAATGATTAATTTCATCTCCAAATATATATTTACTTAATTGAATCCTTGTCAGATTTAAGAATGCTTTTATTAGAAAGATGAAAGTAAAGAATAAGACGTGGGTAAATTAGCCAGAGATTTGACTCACAGGCTTGAGGCAAAAACTGTGTATCTGATTAATAATAAACAGAGACTGAAGGACAGAGAAAACAAAAAACCAAAATTCCATGTTTCCATTGAACTTCTTGTTCGTTCAAAATACTCCCTTAATAAAAGCAGGAGCCCCCCAGATGTGGTGGTGCACACCTGTAATCCCAGCAGCTCTGGCGGCTGAGGCATTGGATGGCAAGTTCAAAGCCAACTTCAGCAATTTAGTGAGGCCCTAAGCAACTTAGTGAGAACCTGTCTCAAAGTAAATTATAAAAAAGGGAGGAGGGGCGCTGGAAATGTGGCTCAGTGGTTAAGCACCTCTGGGTTCAATTTCTTTATTTTTCTGCCCAAGTCTTCCATCATCTAAAGTATTTTATGAATACCTTTTACTAATTTCTGGGACTTATTGTCTTTTTCTGCTAATTTATATATTCCATAAGGGCAGGTACAAAAAAAAAAAGAGGATGCCAAACTCATTCTAAAGTCATTTGTGTAATCACCATGATTTAAGAATGTCTTAGTTTTAAAAATCTTAATGTCAATCACTTCACATGAGGGTCAGTTTTCCTAGAGAATTCCTCTAATGCATAATTTCTGTGGTCTTTAAGCGTTGGTATCTGTATCTGGAATGATCTAACTGAAACTTGCCAGGGGACTAAACAGCTCAAATTTAGACATCACAGTTCAAAATAAAAGAGCAAATTTGAACATTACGATCAGAGCTACCATAGTCCTGCTCAAAAAGAGATGAGAGAATTCACATCTGACGGCTTTGTCCTTACCTCCAGGCTCATGGGGTGAAGCCCAAGGAAACTTATCTTGAACATGGGTATCAAGGTATCAAGACTCTGTGCTTCCCTTCAGAGCTTGGGGCTCAGGTGGTGTAGTGAAGACCTTCAGTGACCTTCAGATACGCTGTGGAGTTCTTCCAGTCAAGCAGGCAGCAGAGGGTGGGGGCTATTTTCTGATAACTAAGGACTGAGGGTGAAGAGGACTTATAGAAAATGCTGATTGGTCCCAAGTATGCAGGGAGAGTGAGGAGCAGGGAGACTAATCAGGAGCCCCAGGGGCACCCGTATCATCCCATTCCTTTCTATATGGCATGAAACCCACCCCGGCAGCCTCAGTTGAGTTCACTGGGGCAAAGAGACTGGAGGCTCCAGTGCTCAGGGACTCAGTCCTTGCTGCCTATGTCACACTTTGACTACAAGTCTTCTGAGAGGGAGGGAGAGAAAAATCTTGACTCCCGGCTGAGAATGGGCTCAAAACTAGCCATTGACATCCACCCTTAAATCACAGTTAAGGAAGTTGTCAAAAGACGGGTGGTCTTGGGCAGGGTCTGCAGTTATTGAAATTCAGAACTATCTACCCACCTTGGGAAGAGGTTATAAGCAGTTGTCTAAATCTCAGTTACATTTTAGTGGGCATCATGTATATTCTGTTTTTGTTTTCCATTAGGGCATCGTCCCCTCCCACCTGGGACTCAGTCACACCTGACATCAGAACCAGTCCTGGGGACTCAAACCAACCACACGTGTGCCCATAAGGCTCTCAGTATCACCAGTTGAAGCACTGAATCTGAGCCAATCAGATCTTGGTTTCCACCCCACTTTACATAACTACCATACGAATGGCAGGATGTTGTATATAGAAAGTACCCACCTTAGGGGCTAGCAGGGAGGAGAGTTCCCTTGGATGATTACTGACAGCTACTACTACTTTATCATAAATGTGCTAAGGAAAAATGTGTGCCAGACAAGTTGGAAACTCCCCATCCCTTACCACATTCCCATCATGATTCCATATTCAGCCTGTCTACAGGACAAGGAGTTAAAATTTCCCAGAGTAGAAAAGGAGGAATATAAAAACAATGAAATCTGACATGTTGTTACTGTATGCTCAGTACAATAATACTGAACACTTTATATTCATTTGATCTTCACCCACAAAACCATCAACAGGCTATAATTAAAGGTAAGAAATCCAAGAATTTAAAAAGTTCAGCGAATGATGTACAGTCATGCAACAAATAAGTGTAAGAGCAGGGATTAAATGCAGGTCTGAATCACCCTCAGTCCTTAGTTGTCAGAAAATAGCCCCCATCTTCTGCTGCATACTACCCATGGAATAGCCAAAATGGGATAATAAGGTTCATAAGGGGATTTGGGACAATGGCTCATCGATAGTTTGCCTCAAGATCTGGTAAAAGAGCTGTTGCAGCTACAGAGAAGCATACCTCCACGGGCAGAATTAACATTGTCAAAATGGCCACATCACCAAAAGCAATCTATAGGATTAGTGCAATCCCCATCAAAATACAAATGACATTCTTTACAGAACTAGCAAAAATAATCCTAAAATTTATATGGAAGAACAAAATGCCCATAATAGCTCAAAAAATTCCGAACAATAAGAGTGATGCTGGAGGTATCACAATACCTGATCTGAAATTATGCTACAGACTAAAGTAACCAGAACAGCATAGAGACACATAAAGACAGAAATGAAGACCAATAGAACAGAATAGAAGACTCAGAGACAAAATCACACAAATACAGTCTTCTAATCCTTGACAAAGGAGACAAAAACATGCATTGGAGAAGAGATAGCCTTTTTAACAAATTATGGCTGGGAAAACCGGCTATCCATCTGTACAGATCCTTATCTCTCACCCTGAACAAATATTAACACAAAATGGATCAAAAACCTAGAAATCAGAACAGAAACTTTGCAACTACTAGAAGAAAATACAAGGTCAATACTCCAACATATTGGCACAGGCTTCAACTTCCTTAACAAGAATCCTAAACCTCAAGAAATAAAACCAGGAATCAATAAGTGAGATGGCATCAAATTTAAAAGTTTCTGCATAACAAAAGAAACAAAATCATGAACAGAGCACTTACAGAATGGAAGAAAATAATGACCAGCTACTCCTTGGAGAAAACAATATCCAGAATATATAAAGAAAGCAAAAAAAAAAAAAAAAAAAAAAAAAAAAAACTATCACCAAGATCCCAAATAACCCAATCAATAGACAAATGTTCTTAATAGACTTTTCCCAAAAGAAGAAATTCAAATGGCAAACAAATATATTTTAAAACGTTCAATATTCTTAGCAATTAGGGAAATGCAAATCAAAACCACACTGAGATTCCATTTCACACCAGTTAGAATGCCAATCATTGAGATTACAAATAATGAGTGTTTCTAGAAAGGAAGTGGGGGAAAGGTACACTAATACACTGCTGGTGGGATTGTAAATCAGTACAGCCACCATGGAAAGCAGTATAGAGGTTCCTCAAAAGACTAGGAATGGACCCATCATACAACCCAATTCTCCCACTACTTGGTATTTATCCCAAAGAAATAAAAGCAGCATACTAAGGGAAATGTGCATTCCAATGTTTATTGCTGCACAATTCCCAGCAGCCAAGTTAAGGAACCAGCCTAGGTGTCCTTCAATAGATAAATGGATTTTTTAAAAATAGTATATATTTACAATAAGTTTTACTCAACCACAGAGAACAATGAAATTTCGTCATTTGCTGGTAAATGGATAAATGGATGAAACTCCCTCACCCCTGTGGCTAGCAATCCCTTGCTTCCTTGGTTCTTTTTCCTTTCCCACCCTCGGAGTAGATACTACTTCTGGATTTTAGTGAATTCCGAAAATACTAATTCTGAGATATGCTCATTCTAGATGTATGCTGCAAGCACCCATTCATTCTTCCCTACCCTCAACCAGATCTTTTCCAATACATCAGACCAAAGTTCTATATCCTACAAACATGATTTCAAGAGACTACATCAACCTGCAACTTGGTTTTCCCATTGGTAATACAATTTTTCCCACAAGGAAAAAAAAAACATAGCAATTATTACTTTTAATCTAACTTTGTATTGGAAAGTTCTATCTCCTGTGAAATAAGTGCACTTTTGAAAAATAGCCTGAACCCACTCACCATCAGCCAGACTCCAGTCCTACTCGAGCTCTTTCTTCCTCAACTTGCTACATTTCTCTAGTTGCTTTATGCAAAATGCAATAGCTACCCAATCTTTAAAAACCTCCCATTTTTCTTATCAGTTAAGACACAGGAACCCAGTGACTGATAAGCTGAAATGGACAAACAATACTGTTAACAAATATCACCTGCAGTTTTCACCGCCTTCTCCGGTATTTCAAAGATCTTTGATGAAGTTGTCTTTCCTGTTCTAATCTTACGGAGCTCACATTTCATCTTAATTACAGTTTTCCTTCCTTGGAGGTGAATACCTCAACAAAACCACCCGCCTCCACCTCCCTGACTGGGTGGCAGGTCCCTCATTGCCGTCTATGGGTCCATAGATTTAAGTTCCCCACAATTCACCTCTAAGAGCAATAGTATATACTTCTGCAATAAGTTTCACTGCTGACGCATTAGTGTCAACATTTTAAAGATTCTGGCACTTTCTGCAGGGTGCTTAAATGTACGCTCTAGGTGCATCAACATGCTATCCCATGCAATCCTCAGAGGCTGCCAGGAGGCTCAGAGAGGCTAATTACTTTACCCAAAGTAGTGGATGATACAAGGTAAATCCAGATTCCAAAGCTCCCATAACTGACTCTTTCCACATGCCTCCCACCCCAGATAGCCTGTCTCAGATGGTGGTAATAGAGATTTTATGGACACATGTTGCAAGTGTTAGGATTCTGGATAAACAAAGCTTATTTATAAATGCAATTCTTTTTCTAAATGTTGGTGATTTTTGAATATTCAGGAGATGCCGTCTGCCCAAATGTTCCAATAAAGAGAGAGAACAGGAGCTCTAGATATATCCTGGCTTTTCTCTTATTGGCTATGTGAATTTTTGGCAAATTTCCTACCCTCTCTAAATTTCTTGTGCAAGGGATATTATTGTTAATATTAAATGAATGACCTATGTAAAATGTTGTCCATAAGATTAGTACTAGTGACTTTTTGCCTTATCACTATTTATCTTTTCCACCCAGTAGGATTGTGTTTAAAATAAAAAGAAACCTTCAGATGTCTTTGAAAAGACAGTACTATTGCTGGGCACAATGGTGCACGCCTGTAATCCCAGCAGATTGGGAGGCTGAAGCAGGAAGATTGGGAGTTCAAAGCCATACTCAGCAACAGTGAGGCACTAAACAACTCAGTGAGACCCTGTCTCTAAGTAAAATGCAAAATAGGACTGACTGGGATGTGGTTCAGTGGTTGAGTACCTCTGAGTTCAATCCCCAGGACCCAAAAAACAAAAAAAACCCCGATGGTACTATTGATAATATGTACCATATCTAAATGCCACATCTATGTCAAGTCAATAACAAAATTAGGACAACACTCCACCTTCAGTCTCTCTACTTTTGTATTTGTATCAAGACTCCAGTTCCCGTAAGGAACCCAAATCATCTCTTCCCCTTATTTATGGGCACCTTGCATTAAAAAAAAAAAAAAACTCATATAGTAAGGAAAAATGATGATTCCGATTACCTACTATAAAATCTTCATATGAGGTCCTCTGTCATTTGTTTTCCACTGCTAGGGAATGGGAGAAAATATGCATAAGCAATATATCAAACAGTTCTTATTGATGTGCCCAACATTGTATCTTTCAGCTCTATTAGAGATGAGGAGACTCATTCCTGAGCTCTAGGAACTTAAGACTATGAAAAACAAGGGGGCGGGGGAAATGTAGCATTTTATAAATCTGCAAATTTGTGATTTAAACTGAGAACTTTTCAAGAATCAGAGTATTTTTAAAAATTAGCATGGATTATTAAGAGACTGTTAAGTCTTTACTCAAGATTGAATGATTTTTCCATCTTTCTGGTGTGTTGAGCTATAATTCTTCCCTAATTCTATTTCTCCTGATATCTGTTAGCATCATATAAGTATTACGATAGCAGCGTTTAGAAACCTGAATGATCTCTGCTGTGGAATTTATCCTTCAAAGAGACTTTATCACTCACATTTATGTACTTGATTGCTATCAAGATTAAAAATGGTATTTTCCATGCTGCCAGCAATGTTGTTAAATCCAGGAGGCCAACATCCAGACAGGTCATCTAGGGTTAAGAAGAAGAGGTCACATTTGAATGAAGAGGTGAGGAAACTGAGAAGCTCCATGGGTGGCTTCAGGAAGTTTCTATTTGCAAAGGGTCTGCAAGATACGGATTCAAAGATGCCTGTTCTTGCATTATATTTGGCAAGAAGATTCTAGCTCCAGCCCCTCGCAGGATCTCTCTCCAGTTCTGAAGATCTTGAAAGATGCACCCCAACTATGACCTACCCATTAAAATGACTGTACACCTTCGAGGTAACTCTTCTTGATGAAAATGACCCCAACCCAACAAAAGGCAATTCTTTTCCCAAAAGGCAGGACAACATCTGTGACAACTCACCATTCAATGACATGAAAGGAGAGATCAAAATTAGTCGAACTCATTCATTTGAGATAAGGACAATAAGTTGGTGCTTCTAAACAGCAAAGAAATGACTGGAATGTGTGTGTGTGTGTGTGTGTGTGTGTGTGTGTACATACACGTTTGCAAGTGCTTGTTTGTGTTTGGAGTAAGTCCACATGTAGAAGACATCTTAGCTGTTCACCCAAACTAAAATGAGCTTTATTATTGTCCAAAATGCTAATTACTCCAATTTTATCAGTTCATGCAATGTGTGTGTTGAGAGGTCATACTATACTCTATTAATATGTACAATAATTATGTTAATCAAAAAAATCTTTTAACCTCACTAAATTGACAAAAACAAGATGTTAGCTTGTCTTCCCTGTGCCTTGAAAAACTAGAAATAATTTGTTCAGACACTAGCAGTTCACAACTTGTGACAACCCAGAGTCCCACTTATGTCTGCTAATTCCTAGGAGACTTGTTTTTGCGTGATCCCTGGTTTCTCAAGCTTCTGTGTCCAGCAGCCCCATCTCTGTTCTGCTGGGAAGAACAGGAGAGAGCCTCTTCTCTACTTTGCATGAGAAATCTATTTACACCAAATCCATCTACATCTAAAATGCAATGTGATGCTACAGATTTGTACATCACATGGACAACCTCACAGCCCTCCATAGAGATGCCCACCACCCACCAGGGCTCTCTCTTGCTCTCACTGCCCACCACCACCATTCCCTCCTAGAGGTACTTGAGAGCACTTTGGTGTTTCCCACTGCTCATGCCGCATGCATCAAGGTGCTAGGCAGCTGGAAAGGCTGCACCTCTATTAGAAAGAATCTGAAGTAGTGTCAGCAAATCCAATTTTCTCTGTCACCTTTACGTCTGCATGACCACCCTTCTCCCCACTTCTAGACACTTCTCTCCCCTTGCCTCATTGCTACAATCTACTAAACAGGTTGACTAGTATGACTCACTCCTTTAATCTCCCAAGGAGTAGAATTTCTCAAAAAAAAAAAAAAAAGAAAGAAAGAAAGAAATGTTCTACAAATACAAATGTCTGAATGGCTTGTAAAATAACCCCAGCATGTATGAAAAAGAAGGAAACTGGAGGGGGAGTAGAGTTTCAACCAAGAAAATTCTAATGGAGCCAAATACATAACCTAGCTTCCTGTTTCTACCTTACCCCGGGGCCCTGTTTTCCTGACATTGGGCAGGAAATGAACTTACTGTAGTAAGTTACTCTACAGTAAGTTCATTCAGATCTTTTATGATTCCACAATGGGTGAAAAAAAAAATCTTCCTGTGTTCAGGAATTGAACTGGCTGATCTTGATGCTACTGAAGCAGTTAGTGGGTAAAGACTTCGGACAGCATACCCTATATATGAAAAATCCCAAATCCTAAGCAGGCCTGAAAGCTCTTCCCCATAGCTCCTGTTCTGAAGCTCAGAAAAGGTCCTTGTTTAGTGGAGAGTTAACAGAGGTTCTTGACTTGTGGATTTGGGAAAACGGAGTTTCATGAAAAGGTTAGGTTCATCTAGAAGAAAAAATAATTTTGATCGTCTCTCTCTCTCTCTCTTTCTCTCATACACGCACACACACACACACACACACACACACACACCCCTGACCTTTCCTTCTCCAAAATAAAAGAATAGAAAATGTTTAGACAATGGTTTCTAGAAAACATATTTAAATCTTACCACACTTTAGCAAGGTTCACATGTCCTTCCTCAGCACTGGCAAGTCTAAGCAAAAGAATGAGCAATGTAGAAGCTAGAAATTGTGAGCTCTCAATGAAAAGTCCCTTTAATAGGTATGACAGCCAGTCTCCAAGATGGTCCCAAATAATCTGTGCCTCCTGATGTTCATTCCCTTGTACATTTTTCTCTCACCCTGTACCAGGGCAGGTCAGTGTGACAAATGTAATACAGAATAAGTAATCACACGCCCCTTCTGAGACTAGGTTATGAAAGGCGGTAGTACCCATCTGTGACTTTCTGCTCTTGAATAGTTCAGAAAGAAGCCAAGACATGAACAGCCACAGCATGTGATCCAGATGGAGATGCCCTAACACCCACAGCCACCCAAGTGACTTAGAAGTGAATCTTCAAATCCAGTCAAGTCTTCAGAGATGACAAAGTGTGGCCAATAGCTGGTCCACAACTAATTGAGAGATCCTGAAGCAGAACCACCCACCTGAATCACTTTCAAATTCCTGACCCTCAGGACCCATGGGAGATGATAAACTGCAGTATCAGCAGCTAAACTTTAATTTGCTCTGTTGCAAGAGAGATAATAGTTGTTAGAGTTGTAACTCCTTGCTTTATGCATTTAATAAGGATGTAGGAGTCAGGGATATTTGCTAAAATTTAATGACTTGATCTTCATGGCTTTTATCCTTTTTACTTATTTTTGCATTTTATTTCCCCTACAAAGCAATCGACCTTTCAACTTCTACCCCTACTCAGCGGGTGTTGGTGCTGTCAGGAAGCCACATCGATTGTAACTCTGGGGTTTCTATTATCAGAAGAAACTTTTGCTCTTAGAGATTTGTTCCATGGCTCTTAAAAGAACTTCTCGCCCAGTCTAATCAGATAAAGTCTTTTCCCTT